TATTTTTAAACCTTCCTTGTTCCTGACTGGGGCTGCTGAGGGGCAGGGGTGGGTGGAACTGAGCCTTGAGCCTCCCACGCTTAAAGTGCAGCCCTTGGGTAGGGGCTGCGATCTCTTCAGCGCATGGATCAGGGGAAACAAGCTCAGTGAAAAGCAGGGGGCACCCAAGGGCATGTGGCCCCTCCAGAGCCTGCTGGCCCCAAGGGCAAGGCTGAGGCAGGGGTGGGACAGCACAGGGGCAGCCAGAACCCAGACCCTGCCACCTGCCCCCCCGCCCCTCCCACCGTCTCTTTGCTGGGAAATTAGTTCCACTCCTTTACTGACTCCTCACTGGTCACCCCCGGTAGCTCCAGGCAACACCTCCTCCCCACAGCCTGCTCTGTGCCCACTTGGCAGTTGTGAAACCTGAGGATCAGAGAGGTCAAGACGCTGGCCCAAGGTCACACAGCAAGGAAGAACCTCAAATCTGGGGCTACATGACTCCAGAACATTCAGCCACTGCCCCCGGCCGCTCCTCCACCCCTGTCCCCTGGGGCTGGCCCCTGCCCTCCCTAGATGGTCACTGCTCCCAAGGGGAGTGTTCTGTTCGCGGGTGGAGGCCCAGGCGGAGGTTCTGGGAGGCGGGTGGCTGCTGCCAAGATGCAGACTTGGCTGGTGGAGAAGTTTCCATCTTAGCGCCAGGAGCTGGTCCAGGCCTGCAGGCCCAAGGCTGCACCTCAGGACCCCCCAGGAACCAGCCCTGCAGGGGTGGAGGTGGTCCAGCGCCCTCTGTGTTCTCTGTCCCTCCTACCACCCCCCAGCCAGAGCATCTCCACACACTGAGCATTACTCCACCCCCCAACGCGCAGGTAGCTGAGCTCACCGTGCCTCAGTTTCCACATCTGTGAAATGGTTCCAATGTTCTGGGCCCAGTGCCAACCCCCAGCCGTGGGAAGTGTTGTTCTCCTCTGGAGAACTGAGGGGCCTTGCCTGGGGTCACTGAGCCAGCCCAGCACACGGCTGCTCATTACCTGCCAAGAGACTCCCCAAAACCAGGCTTCCGGGCTCTTAATTTGACAAAGTTATCCTCACCCTGAGGGTGTGGAGAGGCCTCAACCTGACAGGGAACACAGCTGGACACCCATTCCTGGCCAGGGGTCAGAGCAAGGGCCCTGGGGACCAGGGAAGGAGCCTTTCTGACCAGCACGGATGGGGCCCTTGAGGCCTGTTGGGCGGCAGAAAGGAGCCGGCCGGTTCCAGGAGAAGATGGGAAAAGCAGGGCCGGCAGCCGTCCCCAGAGGGCCATTTGCAGCCACAGGTCACAGGTGGAGGGCTCTGCCGCTGGGGGCCCCAGGTCAGCAAGGCGGGAAAGCCATCAGACACGACCGGCTAACCGGGAGGCGGATGGGGGCGGGGCACACCTGAGGGGCGGGGCTGGGGCTGAGAACCTTGGGGAGCTCACAGGCAACCCCCCACACACAAGCCACAAATGTGTACACACTGTGTGTATACACGCACACACACATAACAGACACACGCTCGTAGAAACATGAATACTCCCATCGACACACAATCACACACACACAGACACCCCTCAAAGTCACTCATGCTCTGCATATGTGTGCACATTGTCACACAGAAACACACAGTGCACACGCACGCACACACACACACACACACTCACAGACGCCCACAGCAGCCTCAGCCCCTAAGGCTTGCGGGCACCCCGCCGCACACACACCTAGGCAGACCTCCGCCCGCCGCCCGCCAGGGCCTGCCTGCTCCCGTCCTTGGCCCAGGGTGCCCTAATCCTGGTCTCGTGTCCTGGAGCCAGATGATAAGGGGCAGCTGCAGCCCCAGATAAAGGACGCGCAGCCACAAATCCGGGGCGGCCCTGGCGGCCCCGGGCACTGAGCCCGGGCCGCACCTGCCCCGCGCTTCCTCCCAGCTCCCGCCCAGAGGGACAGAGAGGGCAGGGGAGACAGAGACCGGGAGGGAAAGGTCGCCAGAAGAAAGGGACGCATGGGGGGCGAGCAGCAGCCAAGAGAGAGGGAGACAGAGCTCAGAGGCAGAGGGAGAAAGGTGGGGATAGAGATGAGACCTGTCTTTCTGGGAAAGAGACAGGCAAAGATAGGAGACAGATACAGAGAGGGAAGGAAACACAGAAACAGGAAGAATAAAAGAAAGAGACAGAGGCCAAGAGAGCGCCAGGAGCACCTCCCCCAGGCCCGGCCCCACCCCTGCTTGGGTCCCTCAGTCTCCCCACCTGCTCAGGGGCCCCAGTGCCACCTGCCTCCCTCCTGCTCCTTAGATCAGCCGAGGTCAGACATTCGTCTGACTCAGATCTGGTTCGGGGTGGGGAGGACAGCTTTCTCAATGTCCCTACATTTTCCATGGTGGCACTTGGGAAGTCCTCAGCTGCCGGTCACAGCCTCAGTGAAGATGGGACTCCATCCCACCCTGAGCAGGTCCTACCCCCGTGCCTGAGTTTCTCTAGCTATGACAAGAGGCGTTCACTCAGTAAGCATTCACTGAGCACCTACCATGTGGCAGGCCCAGTGCTGGGGACACAAAGTGACCCTGGCAGACCCAACTCCCACCCATTCTGGGCTCATAGTTTAATGGGAAGATCCCCAATGAAGAATTCTTCTCCAGAGAAGAAGCTGAGAACAGAAGGGTGAGTGGAATGAGCAAGGTGACTGGGTGCAGGAAACAGCCTTCCTGGGAGAGGGAACAGCATATGCAAAGGCTGGGAGGTCAGGCTGGCTCACAGAAAGTCTGGAATGAACTTGGTGCCTGAGTTTAGGGAGTGAGGAGGTGATGAAGGCCAGTGAAGCTGGGGAAGGCAGCAGGGATTTTTCAGGAATTTGGGGGCTGTGGTACAAGGCACAGGGGCAGTAGGGAGCGATGAAAGGACTGGGAGCAGGGGAGGGCCAGGGTCAGATCTGTGTTTCAGAAAGAGCTATGGGAGGCTAGGCTGTTGGAGGCAGAATGGGAGGTTGAGATCTGGAAGGTGGTTTGCTGGGAAAGGGGATGGACTGGAGAGAGACTCTCGAGAAAAAGTAGGCTGGACATGGTGACTGATGGGCTGTGGGGGGAGAGGCAGGAGGAGAAGCTGATTCCCAGGCCTCTAGCTAGACAGTGGCAAGCCCCTGGGCCAGGGTCCTCTGCAGCCCATGGATTCAGGTGGAGTTGAAATGAATGCCCCTTCCCTCCACACAAGGTCAGAGAGAGGAATAAACAAGTTAATACATGAAAAGAGCTTAGAACAGAGCCTGGTACACAGTAAGCACTCAGTACTATCTAGTACTGATGAGTGAGTACTATTAAACCATTATCATAATATAATAAATAATAACAAGCAATTAATAGCATATCAGATTAACACCATGCATGGGTATTAATGGCCAGTCTATTCCCCCCTGACCCCGCTTACAGGAAGCCTTCCTGGATTGCCTTACACAGAGAAGGCAGGGGAGAGCCAGGGAGCCCTAGGAGGGTTCTCCTTTGAGGCTGAGGCCCAGAGAGGGGAGGCCAACTTCTGAGGGGTCTGGGTGCCTGTGGGGTGATGTCAGGGAGACTATAATAGAACCTCGGAGGGCAATGGGGAGCACCTCAGGAAGAAATGAGCTCCCTTCCCTGGAGGTGGGAAAGGGAGGCTGAGTAAGAAGTCCCCCAAGGATGCTGTGGTTTCAGAATCCCCCATTCAACTGTTTTATTCCCAGATTGTCCTATAGAGGGCAGCCGAGGTTGGAGATGGAAAAGGCCCCCTTCCCATTTTCTCCCAGATCTTGGAAAAGCTAGTTCCCAGCTCGTTGTGGCCTCTGGCAAATCCTTTCCCTCCTTGAGCTTCAATCTCCGCATGTGTTACTCCAGGAACACAGTCCCTGCTTCACTTCCTTGCCCAGGGAAAGCATTGTCACTTTTAGCAGTGAAAGGTAAGGGCAGCTGAGGGATTGGTTTTTTGCACCCTGCACCATGTTCACATAATTCAAGGCAAAGAATAGCAATAAAGTAATAGTAACGACAGTGGTCGTTAACATTTATTGACTGTTATTTATCGAATCCTTACTTTCTGAAAGAGATATTTTTATTGGCCCCATTTTTCTGACGAGGAGACTGAGGCACGGAGAAGTTAAAGGACAATGTTCCCAGCTGGTAAGTGGAAGTTCTGGCATTTGAAGCTGGCAGGCTTTGCCTAGAGCCCTGAGGTCCCTGTGCTGCATCAAGTCTCTTCCAGGAACAGGGGGCTTTAGGAGGGTACAACGGTATGGTGGGGATTGTGGAAAATGATGACTAGATTCTGCCCTCCTTGGCTGTTAGCCCTCCCCCTTCCCTTGGAGTAAAAGCCCCCTTTACCTCGGTGTGCTTACCTCCTCCCACTCTCCCCCTCGCCCACTCAGCTCCAGACACACAGGCCTCCCTGTTTCTCCAGCACTGGCTGTTCCCTCCGCCTGGAACACTTTTCCACAGATACCCCTATCTCTCTCCCTCATTCCTTTCAAAAATAGTCACATGTCACCTTCTCAGTGAAGAAGCTTTCCCTGACCATTTTATTAGTAATTGCAACCATGAAAAATGGCACTCCCATTTCCCCTTCCCTGCTTCATTACCGTCTCCGTACAGTATATCTTACGTATGTATTACGTTGATTGGATTTACCACTCTTATGTAAGCTCTTAAAGGCAGGGATTTTTTTTTTTTTTGTCTTTTATTCACTGCTGTATCCCGGGCATCTAGGAAGCGTCTAGTCCGCATGCACTCAACACATTATTTGCTGCATGCATGCCCCAAATAAAAGTAGCAGAATTGAAAAAAATTTAAAACCCCATCAGGAAAACAGAACACCTCCGTAGGTCGATTGTGGCCTGCGAGAGGCCAGTTTGAGAGCCCCTAGAGAATCATTGAACATTTCTGGTTCAGCCAAAGGGTTCAGAGGTATATCCGAACCCGAGGCCCCACCCCCACTTAGGCTCCGCCCCCTGCTTCGACGCGTATACAATGGCGTCACTTGGAGCGACCCGGGCATGCGCGCTTCCCCAACACGACCAGTGGAGATACACGCGCGACCCGGAAGGCCTTCCCGCAACAATCCAGAGCGGGCGTGAGGGGGGGCTGATGGCGGAGGGAGCGGCGGAGGCTCCAGCAGAGAGTGGTAGTGGTGGCGGCCCACGAGCCAGCGAGCCGGAACGGGGGGTGGCGCCCATTAAACCTCAGTGAGTCTCCCGGGCAGGGGGAGCAGCTCACGGGGCCTTCTCGGCTTCCGTAGCGCGGCCCGAGCGGTGCATGCCGGGAGATGGGGCAGCGGCCCAGGACGGGGAGCTCGCCGGATCTTCTGTTTGGGCTTTTTCGCGGCTTGCAGGGTCAGCGAGCTCCGGAGATCGCGCACGTTGGGAACTGTCACATGCGCGAAGGACACCACGGTGCATGCTCGGGTGGGCGGGGTTTGAGTCGCAGCGTATGGCGGGAATAGCGCATGTGCACCTCCAGCCAGCCACTGTTAACAGTCGGGGACTTGAGCCTGGCGCGAGTGCCGCGCGGCGTGCCGGGGCTTGTAGGCCTGATGGCGTGGCGTGTGGGAACGTGGCGGCTGTGGACCCGTTACAAGGCACTGGGACTTGTAGTTTCCTGTAGCCTAACATGGCCAGGTTCATACCTGTATTTCGGCTCAACAGTCTGGGCATTGGGGACCTAGGGACAAAATAGGTCCTCTCAGTGGCCTTGAGGTGCTTCCAGGCTGGCAGCTGGCCTATTCTAACTAGTGAGCACATCATCAGCAGAAGCATGTAAGCAGGGGCAAGTGTCCTCAGGCCCTTTCCCCCAAATTCATTGAATCTGAGTTCAGGGGAAAGACTTCTTCCACAAACCCTCCTTCCCCCTGTCTCTGTGCTGGCAGATACCTCACCACCAAGGAGCAGTTCCATGAATTCCTGGAAGCCAAAGGGCAGGAGAAGCCCAGCCAGGAAACCAAGGCAGGAGACCCTGGTGGCAATGACCTGCCTGAGCCTGAGGCCAAGCGGATCCGACTGGAGGATGAGCAGACAGAGGATGGGCAGCCAGAGGAGACAGCTGAGCCTGGGGAGCAGCCTCAGGCTCGGAAGAGGGCCCGGGGTCAGAACAAGGGCCGGCCCCATGTGAAGCCCACCCACTATGACAAGAACAGGCTGTGCCCCTCCCTGATCCAGGTGAGTGTCTTTGTCACCAGGAAGTCTCAGATGCCTCTCTGCCCCCCATTCAGTCCTCAGAATGCTGTAATGTAAGCCATTGTACCCACCTTCCAGATGAAGAAACTGAGGCTTGGTGAGGTTACTGACTTGACGAGGACACAGCCAGGAGGGGAGGGATCTGAGTTTCAAACCCAGGCTGCCTGGCTGCCTCAGCATCTCCCTGTCCTTCCTCATTGCCCACCCTGTTTCCCTGTAGGAATCGGCCACTAAATGTTTCTTTGGGGACCGCTGCCGCTTCCTGCACGACGTGGGCCGCTACCTGGAGACCAAGCCAGCTGACCTGGGCCCCTGCTGTGTGCTCTTTGAGACCTTCGGCAGGTGCCCTTATGGCGTCACCTGCCGCTTTGCCAGGGCCCATCTGGGGCCCGAGGGCCAGAATCTGGTGCAGGAGGGGTTGGTCCAGGCCCCGCCTGTCCGCAATGGCCTGGACAAAGCCCTGCAGCAGCAGCTGAGAAAACGCAAAATCTGCTTTGAGCGTGCAGAGCAGGCCCTGCGCCAGCTGGGCAAGGGCCAGTTGCCAGGCCCTGCCTCCTCTGCCACTGTCCCTGAGACCACAGAGGCTGAAGGTGCCCCAGGGCAGGCCAACTGTGACGCCCAGCAGGCCCCCCAGGAGCCGGGCATCGTTGTCACTCCCAGTGGCCCTTTAAGGACCTGTGGGCCTCTGACAGACGAGGATGTAGTCAGGTTGCGGCCCTGTGAGAAGAAGCGGGTATGTGTCCTGGGCTCCCTGCTGAGGACACCAGCAGTGCTAAGGGCAGATAGAGCTGGATACTTGCTCCCAGCCCCAAAGGGTCAGGGCTCGGGCAGAAGGAGGCAGTGGGAGAGGCTTCATGGAAGAGAGGGCATGGGGACCGGGGTTTTGATGGTTGAGTAGAAGCTCTCTAGTGGAGGAGAATGTGGAGAAAAGAACATCCTTCATGGAGGAATTGGTTGACCTGTGCAGAGGTGCAGAGGTGAAAGGGAGTCAGGCTGGTGGGGGCAGGGCAAAGCATGTGGGCAAAGACTAGGGAGAAGGAACGCCTGAGAGGCCTTGAAAACCAAGGTGGAGGGTGGAGCTTCACTGTACGTTTTCTTTGCCTCCAGCTGGACATCAGTGGCAAACTGTACCTGGCCCCGCTCACCACGGTAGGAGCCACACCGGGGTGGGCCGGGTGGTGGCAGCGTGGTTATCCCACCAGTACCCATTGTCTGCCCTGCCCTATGGGTCTTGGGTTGGGCAGGTGTCTGGGGTCCCTGCCTGCCATGCACTTACATGTGCATCTGTCCCCTGCTGTCCCTAGTGTGGGAACCTTCCCTTCCGGCGGATCTGTAAGCGCTTTGGGGCCGATGTGACGTGCGGGGAGATGGCTGTGTGCACCAACCTGCTGCAGGGCCAGACGTCTGAGTGGGCGCTGCTCAAACGCCACCCATGCGAGGATGTCTTTGGCGTCCAGGTTGGTGCTTCCTCATGGGAGGGGCTCTCAGCTGCCAAATTTCAGAGTAAGGTTGAGTCTGGCTCCCCTAGGTCACCTCCCAGACCCCTCTGTCTCAGCCGCAGGCCGCGCGCCTCTCCAGGAGCTGATGGCCTCAGCACTGGGCCAGGGAGGGGCAGCCTGGCCTGGCTTCTCACCCCCGGCTCTGCCACCTGCCACAGCTCGAGGGCGCCTTCCCTGACACCATGACCAAGTGTGCCGAGCTGCTGAACCGCACCGTTGAGGTGGATTTCGTGGACATCAACGTCGGTTGCCCCATTGACCTTGTGTACAAGAAGGTATCGGCCACTCGGTCCTAGAGCCCCAGGGAGGGCAGAGTGTGGGCGGGCGGAATCCCTGGGGACACCTGGGGTCCTCTGGGCCTCAGTCTCCCCATCTGGGCGGCAGTAGAGGGATGTCGGGCCCAGTGTGGGTCCTGCCTTCCAGAGCTCCAGCCGCTGGTCTCTGCCAGGGCGGGGGCTGCGCCCTCATGAACCGCTCCGCCAAGTTCCAGCAGATCGTCCGCGGCATGAACCAGGTACAACCCCAGATTCCCCTCTGCCCCCACCCTGCCCTGTCCTCCTGCTTGACCTCAGGCCCTGATGACCCCACCTGTCCCCACAGGTGCTGGATGTGCCGCTGACGGTGAAGATTCGCACGGGCGTCCAGGAGCGCGTGAACCTGGCTCACCGGCTGCTTCCCGAGCTGCGGGACTGGGGGGCGGCGCTGGTCACGGTGGGTCTCGGAGTGCAGCGGGGGTCGGGGCCCCTGAGGCTCATCCCCTCCTAATGGTCCCTCTTCTGCTCCTTCTCTTGGTCTCTGGCTCTCCCTCCGTCTCTGTCTCTGTCTCTGTGTGTCTGTCTCTCTCTCTGTCTCTCTCAGCCTGGTCCCTCCCAATCCCTCTGGGTCTCTTTCTCTTTCTCTGTCTCTGTCTGACCCTCCGCCTCCCTGGACCCTCCCTCCCTCCCCGCACGGCCACCTCTCCTCCAGCTCCATGGCCGCTCACGGGAGCAGCGCTACACCAAGTTGGCCGACTGGCAGTACATCGAGCAATGTGTGACCGCAGCCAGCCCCATGCCCCTTTTCGGTGGGTCCCAGCCACTCAGCTCAGACCTCCCCACCAAAGGCCACACCCCCACGCCCACCCCTTGCTGGGGCCCCCTCCCTGCCCCGAGGAGTCTGCTGGCCTGGCAACAACTCCCAAAGCCCCAGCATTCCCGCCTGCACATCTCTCCCTGAAGCCCTGGCCTCTGTCCTTCAGGAAATGGGGACATCTTGTCGTACGAGGATGCCAACCGCGCCCTGCAGACTGGTGTCGCTGGGATCATGATTGCCCGGTAAATGCCCCGGCGTTGGCGGCACAGAGACCAGCTGGCCTCACCCCCCGAGCGCCTGGCCTGAGGCTCGGGGAAGTTGAGGGCGCATCTGGGCTTGTCCCAGCAGCTGGTGCCCCTGCCCACCTGCCTTCCACTGCTCTGTTAGTCCCCAGCCAGTGGCTCTGCCCGGTGTGGGACAGGGAGATGTCAGAGGTGGCTGCTGGGAGGGGTGGGGAGGAGTGGAAATTTCTGCCATTATGGGCTTAGGGTCTTGGGTTGGAACTCTTGGGCCAGGAGGTTTGGGACCGAGGTTTTGAGGGCTGGGGTTCCGGCCGCCGAGCCCACTGACCACTTCCTGCCCTCAGCGGTGCCCTGCTCAAGCCATGGCTGTTCACGGAGATCAAAGAGCAGCGGCACTGGGACATCTCCTCGTCCGAGCGCCTGGACATCCTGCGGGACTTCACGCACTACGGCCTGGAGCACTGGGGCTCGGACACACAGGGCGTGGAAAAGACCCGTCGCTTCCTCCTTGAGTGGCTGTCTTTCCTGTGCAGGTGGGTGGGGCAGCCGGGCCGGGCTTGGGGGGGCTTCATGGGGCAGCTGGGCCCAACCCTGTCCCGCTGCCCCCGCCTGCAGATACGTGCCCGTGGGCCTGCTGGAGCGGCTTCCACAGAGGATCAACGAGCGGCCACCCTACTACCTGGGCCGTGACTACCTGGAGACGCTCATGGCCAGCCAGAGGGCGGCCGACTGGATCCGCATCAGGTGCCTGGGGAACGACGTGTGGGGCTGGGGGCCAGGTGGTGGGGGCAGCCCCAGGCCTGACCCCGCTCCCTGCCCTCCTCACAGCGAGCTGCTGCTGGGACCCGTGCCGCCAGGCTTCATCTTCCTGCCCAAGCACAAGGCCAACGCGTACAAGTAGCCGTGGGGGTGGGAGGGGCATCTGAGCGCCCAGCCAGTCTCACCCTCACCCTGTGTGCGAACACAATAAATTTTATTCTTTTAAAACCCCAGCCTTTCTGTGACCCTGAGGCTTCCCGTTGCTCCCAAGAGCTCCCTACCGCCATCCCTGTGTCTGCAGTTCCCTTCCTCCTCACTCATTCCTCAAAGTCCCCCTTCTGGTGGCTGCTGGTGCCCAGAGCGGCGTTGACCACAAAGAAGCCACAGGGGCTCATGAGAGGGGGGGGCCTCAGCCTGCGTGGGTGTGGATCACAGCAGGCTGCTTGGAGGAAGGGGCCTCGGAGCTGTCGGGCAGGCCTTGCTGGCAGAGGCGGAAGGCGGCAGATGGGGCCCAGGGCCTGCCTTGCTCTTTGGAATGCCTGTCTCTGGCTGCCTTGCTTTCCCCGACTGCCCCTGCCCACCCCTCCTCACTCTCGGAACCTGACCAGTGGGCGGGCCGTGGTGTGGAACCCGCTGCCCGGAGTAACCGGACAAACAGAACTCCGTAGGACTCTGAGCCTGTTCTCCGGGTGGGCCTCCTGTGCTCCCACCTGCTGCCCTCCTGGCCCATCCATGCAGCACCCCAAACCCTTCTACACACCTGTAGCTCCCCAAGACGGCTTCAGTCCCCAGGGCCTGGATGGTACCGAGCGGCTGGGCAGCCAGCCCCCCCCCGCCTGCACAGAACCTCTTCCTGCTGTAGGTATGCGTCGGGGTTCGGGGCACCCAATGGGGCAGGGACCAGGACTCTGCCTGCCAGCCTCAGGACCAGCCCCACCTGCCTGTTTTTGTCCACAGGTTCCTCCAACCTGTACCACCCCCCAAGCCCAGAGAAAGAGGTGTTTCCAGCCCCTCCAGCAGGTACTGGTCCCACCATGACCCTCGATGACTCAGAAATGGGCTAGGCCATCTTGCCCCACCCATCCCTAGATGGCACCCCTCTCCAAAGGCAAGGACTGTGTCCCTGATCCCCAAAGGAGCCCATGCACCAAGGTCTGTGTCCCCCATCCCCTAGATTGGGCCCTGAAGGCAAGGCCTGTCTCCTGTCCTTCAGGTCTCCCAAAGCCAGGCCTGTGTCCCCAGCTCCCAGGTGGGCGAGCCTCCCAAGGTTGGGCTGTGCCTGCCATTCCCCAGACGGGCCTCGAAAGCCTGACCCCTAAGTAGGTCCCCAAAGGCAAAGCCTATGTCTCTGTCCCCCAAATGGACCCCAGAAGCAGTCCCTGTCCTTCATTCCACAGACATGCCCCACGGTGTGGGCCGCCACTCCCCCATCCCCAGGCGGATCCCACAACTGCCCCTCTCAGGGCCGTCCTCCCTGGCCGCAGGTTTCCAGATGGCGCCCTGCGGGTGCTTCTTTGACCCCCGCATCTACCGAATCGAGTGGGCCACCACTGACTTCGGCCAGTCGTCCCTGTACAAGCTGGCAGCTGTGGGCAGCGGGGGGCTGGCAGGGGGCGCCGCCTCGCCAGGCACTTACCTCCTGGAACCCCAGCATTACCTCAAGGCCCTGGTGCCACCCCCGCTGCATCCGCCGTACCCCCTCTACCAGCCACCCCCCGGGGGCCCCCAGTACCTCCTGCCCTACTTCCCACCCGAGGGACCTGGGCCCGAGGCACTGGGCTTCGTCGGGGAAGGAGGGCCCCCGGCCTTCACAGAGCTGCCCCCGCCGCCCCTCAAGGAGAGCAAGCTGCCCCCACTGCTCCTCACGCTGCCGACCGAGGCCACGCTGCCCCACGGCACCTACGGCCACCTCAAGGGCCGCCTGAGCCAGCTGCATGGGCCTGGTGAGCCCCTGGCCTTCACCGCCAAGGAGCTGTCCCCTGGGACTGGGCCCGGCCAGCTGTACCCGCCGGGCCCTGCTGAGACCAGGGCGGCCGAGGCCGAGGACGCCCCGCTAGGGGCAGGCGAGGCCCGGATCCCCGAGGCAGCCCAGGCCTTTGTGCTGCCTGAGAAGGTGCTGCTGGAGGACGCCATGAAGCTGTTCGACTGCCTGCCGGGCGGCGCCGAGCCCGAGGGGACCCCGTACAAGGCCCCCGGGCCCGCCCTGCCCGACAGCGGGGGTGGCGGGGATGACTCCTCCGGCGACATCCGCTCGCTGCACCTGCCGGAAGAGCTGCTGTCCTTTGACTATAGCGTGCCCGAGATCCTGGACACCGTGTCCAACGTGGACTACTTTTTCAACTTCAAGGCGCTGGACGAGGAGCCGCCGCCCCGCCTGGGGCCCCCCCCCACCAATCCCGTGGCCCTGGCGCCACGGGCCGAGCTGCCCAGCAAGAGGAAGGCCAGCAGCTCGACCACCAAGAAGGGGAGGCAGGGCAGCAAGGGCAAGCAGGCTGCGGGCCCGGCCAGCGCCGCCCCCTCAGGGCCCAGGCAGGACCTGGGAGCCACTCCCCATTAAAGCGGATTTGACCTCTCAGCTCTGTGTCCACTCAGTGGCATTGGGCTTAGGGGCTGTGGGCCAGGGCCAGACCTGGAGGGCTGTCCCCTCTCCCGCCCCCTTGTCCAGTGGGATCCATGCCACTTGGTGAGGCCCCATGGGACCCCAGCACCTCCTGGTTGCCAGGCTTCTGGAGACTTAGGGTTTGGGATTCTAAAGCCCTTCTCTTCTAACCCCAGAAAACCCAAGTCAGCTGGTCGGGGTGAGGGCTTCTGTGAGGTGGCAGACTCCTGCCCTGCAACGATTTCACCCCCGTGTTTGATGGGAAAGTCAGGGTTTCCCAGAGGCAGGCAGGAACTTGCCTGAAGACACACAGCAAGCAGGGCGGGGCCAGGGAGCAGTGGTCTGCACATCCCCCTCTCCTGCCCCCTGAAGCCAGGCCTGGTGGACTGAAGGGGGAGGCCTTTGAGGGGCCTGCACGCTGGGCTTGGTGTCAGCCCAGCTGCCAGGGGTGCGTGTCACCCAATGGTGAATGGGAACGCCTCCTTCTTCTGGGGCAGGCAGACAGGTGGGACCCCTAGGGGTGTGGAGGCAGGTGCTGGGTGGAGGTGGAGGCACCTGATGGTCTGAGGGTGGGGGCAGGGTTGGGACGCCTGAGATGGTGCCCACCTGGCACAGGGGATCAGAGCAGGCATGCGTGTGATGGAGCGCGGAGTGCACCTGAGGCCCAGGTGAGGACCGGAGGCGCTGGACGAGGAGCCTGGCCACACGGGGGTTCTGCATCCCAGGTGGCAGGCACAGGATCCTGGAGTTTGAGAGCTGCACATCTCACACCTGTTCCCTCTTGGCCTGGCTCCTCCCGCTGCGGTCCACAAGCTCCCTCCTCCTGAAGAGGGTGACACGGTTTCCCAGGGACACGTAAGGAAATGGGAGGGGAGAGAAGATAGAGCAGCACTCTGGAGTGGGACTCCAGGCCTGGCCCCCTGCTCCCCGCCCTGCAGGAGGAAGAGCCCTCCTGCCCCAGGCCCTGGTCTGGGTCTCACTGTTGGGCTCCCCTGGAGGCTTGACTGGAATCCAGGAGGCAGCTGGGTGTGGGAAGGCGGATTCCCACGTGCTGGCACCAAGCCTCCAGCCTGCGGGGCTCGTCTCCCCGAAGCCTGTTCCAAGGCTCAGGGAAGCAGAGGCTGCCAGGGAGCCTGGGCCGTATCTGCATCGCGGCCCACGCTTACCCTTCCTGTCTGTGTTCTGACCGGGGACATGGGCCTGGAGAAGCCCGAGTCCACTCCCCTTGGCTTCCTTCTGAGCCCTTTCTTCCTGCAGCCCCATTAAGGGGTATTTTTGAGACTAAAATTACGTACCACCAGCGAAGGGAAGGCCCTGGCAAAGGAGGTGGGTATGAGCATGGGCTCAGTTTTCTTCAAGATTAACTGGGACTGAGGGTCCTGAAACAGTGCCACCTGACAGTCCAACCCGGCCGGGAGGCCTGGGCGGTGGGCGGGGCGGGCCGCTGGGGCTCGGCCCTGGGGAGAGGGGCGAGCTCACAGGTCGCTGCACTGGACGTGGGAGCGGAGGTTGTCAACGACTGGCTTGAGACCGTGTTGGGCAATTTAAAGGTCTGTGGAATACATTCTTCTCACCTCAGAGTCATCAGAAAAGGGAGACTACCCAGGTTTTCCCTGGACTGAGGCGGCCGTCCTGTGCCGCCTTGGGTTTGCCTGAAGTGGAGGGGAGGGAAGCCCACTGCATGGATGGATGGACGGACAGGCTGATAGAACGTACACATACATGTGTGTACGTCATATAAACACACACACACGTCTGTGTGTGTGTTCACACGTGCATACATACATACCCATGCATGTTTGTAAGCATGTGCTGTCTATACGTGTGAACACAGGTGTGCCTAAGTGTGTACACGTGTACATGAGTGTACATATACACATGCGCACAGGTGTGATATACTCACCGTCTGCTCACATGTGTGAACACACGTTTTGTATACAACACGCATGTACACAAATGTAGACACACATCCAGACAGATGTACCACGTATCTGTACGTGTTACCCATACGTAGGCACATGCATGGATGTGTATGTAGTATACACATTGTGTGCATGTTGCACACGTGTCTCCATATCATACATACATGTACGTGTGTGCATAGTATCTCTGCACACATATACACCTGTGTCAGGATGCAAGGAACTGTACACATACATATGCATGACAAGTATATGTAGAAAATATAAACTATGTCTCCACGCTCTTAGGGACACACGGAAATGCGCACACATTGTATCTGTGTCAGAGTTTGTCGACACAGAGACAGATCACCTGTCACTGTCTTCCGTAGCCCCCCTTCCCTTTTCCTTGGGTCTCATCCTCCTCTCTAACAGGATGGTTCCCGCGTCTGAGTCTCCTCCAAGGCTGGCCCGTTACTGCATCATCTGCCTGTGCTGGTTCGGCTCACCAAGCTCCTGTTGACAACCCCCAGAGGAGCTGTAGCCCGAAAGAACACTGATGCCAGGATGTCCAGGGAGGCAGATGGGTGGAGAAAGACACAGCGTGATCCATACATGCTGCCACCAGATTTTTTTTACTGCTTTAAGACAGCTCTGCCATCCCCTCGGCCCCCCGCTGCCCGCCCGCACCCTCCCACCCCGCCAAGCGCTCAGCGCCTGCCCCGGAAACACGCGCAAGGCTTCCTGCATCTCCTGCACAGATTGCTGCAGAAGCCCTTGACCTTGAGGCCCTGCTCCGTGTGCAGCAGCTTGGGGATCTTGTAGGCCAGCCACACGCTCATCAAGTTGGCTGCTGTGAGAATGAAGATGAGTACTTCTGGGATGATCTGCTTGGGGTAGGCCCCGGAGACATAGACGCTGAAGATGGTCTCCAGGCGACAGTAGCTGTGAGGGCCGCGTGAGGAGAGGCCATGGGGCACCACCTCTGGGGGCCCCACCCATCACCCCAGCAGACGTTTTATTTTTAACTTTTATGTTTTTAATTTTTATTTTTTTTTGACGAATAGTTGATTTACAGTGTTGTGCCAGTTTCTGGTGTACAGCACAGTGACTCAGTTATAAGTGTATGTATTCTTTTTCATGTTCCTTTTCATGATAGGTTTGTTTGTTTTTTTTGTGGGGGGGGATAATCAGATTTTATTTATTTGTTTACATGGAGGTACTGAGACTGGAACCCAGGACCTTGTGCATGCTAAGCACATGCTCTACCACTGAGCTGGACCCACTCCCTCTCATTATAGGCCATTACCAGTTATTGAATGTAGTTCCCTGTGCTATACATTAGGACCTTGTTGTTTATCTATTTTATATATAGTAGTGTGTATCTGGTAATCCCGAACTCCTAATTTATCCCTCCCCCAGCAAACGTTTTAAAACCTGCGGGGAGGAGAGCTGGGTGGGCCTGGGGCAGTGACTCCAGACACCAAGCTCCATTTATATCCCCCTAACTCCTAGCCCTCCTGGGTCTGCCGTCCTCTTTGTGCATCTTGGCAGAGGTCATATTTTCCCCAGGGCCCCTGTGGTCCCCTCCTCTGGGGATAAGCTCCCCCCTCCTTGCCCACGCCCAGTCTAGAGAGGACAGAAGAGGCCCACCGAGCACGTATCACACAGTGGGTGTGGAGTGGGGGCAGGACCAGGGCACAGACACCCATCAGGCGGTGACAAGGAGCAGGTGGGGTAGCAGGTGGGGAGGTACAGGCCCCCCCGGCGAGGGGGCCCCCAGGAGGAAGGTGCAGGTACAGGACAACTGCTGGGGGCTCTGCTGGGGACTGGGCGCAGAGAGGGGAGGGCACGAGCCTCACAGGCAGCTCCCCGTCTCCCCTGGCTGTCCCCACCCCAGTGCCTTCTGCCCCAGGTGTCCCCGAGCTGGTCCAAGGTCTGGGGCCTCCAGGGAAGGCAAGGTCTCCACGTGTTTTTTGGGGTGGACACTGTGTCCATCTGGTGGGGGGGGTTAGGTGACGCGAGAAAGAGTGGCACCCACACTCCGCCTTCCAGCGGGAGACGGTGGTGATCTAGACCAGCACCAGTGGGTGGCAAACATTAACACCCAGCTCTTGGGGCGGGGATGGGGTGGGTGGGAGGCCTGGCCTACCAGTTTCCCTGGCAGCGGAGATACTCCCGCCGTGACCGATTTCAAGCTCCTGATGGGGAGTCAGCTGGCTCGCAAAACTCCTGGCTGATGGTCAGCCCTTGGGAGCCAAGCGCACCGGTTCCTGCACCCACCAGTTAGGCATGGAATGAGAGGGTGCCTCTGGTCCCCGAGGGCAGGGACGTGGCTACTGGTCATTGCTGTCCCCCCCAAGTGCCCAGCATGAATTCGGAATAAGGATTTCTTTAGCAGGTGAACAAATGTCACTGTGAACTTAAAATACCACACTTCCCGGGACAGTCTGGGCTGTTGAGGGAATTCGGGTTTACCCAGGACTTACCGAGGGGAGGGAGAAAAGTGGGCCCACCCTCCCGTGTGAACCCTGCCCCTGGCGAGCCGGCTGTTCCCCGAGAGGCCCCGGCACAGGGTGACTCCCCCACTCACCTGTAGTACGGATCCACGATGGAAATGAAGAAGGTGTAGATGCCGTTTCTTTTTTCAAAGACCACCTTGTTTTCTGTGGGGCCTCCCAAGATCTGATACGGGACTTGTGGCCATCTCAGGGGTGTGCTGTTGTCGGGGTTGTGGCAGCTCACGTAGTTCTTGGGAGGAGGACAGAGGTGTGTCCACCGTCTGCACCGGCCCCACTGCCCACCAGCACCCAGTGGTGCGAGTCCAGGGCCAAGTCGGGGCTGAGTCCCTCCCCAAATCATACGTCAGAGTCCCAACCCCCAGGACCTCAGACTGTGACCTTGCTTGGCGATGGGGGTCTTTACAGGGGATCTAGTTAAGATGAGGTCACTAGCGTGCTTCCCTCTGCCGCTCGCTGCATCCCCGCCCCAGTGCCCGCCCGGGTGCTCAAGCTGGACTCCTGGGAGCCGCACCGGGCGCTTCCCTCCTCTTTGTCCGTCACCAGGCCCTGCTGGTCCTGCGCCTGCTATGCACTGAATGTCCGTGGCCCCCACCCCCACCCCACACACACATTGAAGCTCATCCCCCAGTGGGGTGGTGTTTGGAGGTGGGGCAGTGGGAGGAGATCAGGTTCAGATGAGGTCCTGAGAGTAGGGCCCTCATAATGGGATTAGTTCCTTTGTAAGAAGAGACACCAGAGAACTGCAAGCAGGGTCTCTAAGAGATATTTGCATCCTGGAGTTCAGAGCAGTACCATTCATAACAGCCAAAAGGTGGAAGTAACCCAACCCAAGTGTCCACCCACAAATGAATATACACAAAATATGGTCCATACACACTAGTGAAGTATTTTGCAGCCTTAAAAAGGAAGGACTTAAAAAAAATTTTTTTTGGAGGTACTAGGAATTGAATCCAGGACCTCAATGCATGCTGAGCATGCACTCTACCACTGAGCTATATCCTGCCCCCGCCACACCCCCAGGAAGGAAATCCTGACACAGGATACCCCATGGATGAACCTTGAGGACATGATGTTCATAGAGACAAGAAATAGGTGGTTGGGCCAGGGTCTGAGGGAGGGCGATGGAGCGTCAGTGTTTAATGGGGACAGTTTCAGTTTGGGAAGATGAGAAAGTTGTGGAGACAGGATGATAGGGGTGGTTACACAACAGTGTGAATGCGCTTAATGCCACTGAGCTGTGCACTTAGGAATGGTTAAGATGGTGGGGGGAGGGTAGAGTGCATGCTTAGCCTGCACCAGGTCCTGGGTTCAATCCCCCGTACCTCCTCTAAAATAAATAAATAAACCTAATTACCTCCCCTTGCAAAATAAAGCGACAAAACTAAAAAATGGTCAAGATGGTACACTTTATGTTATGCATATTTTACCACAATTAAAATTTAAAAGTTTGGGGGGAGGAAAAGAAAAAACCTACGAAAACTATGTGTAATAAAAAAAAGGAGATAGTTGTTTAGCCTAAAACCCCACTTAGCTGGAGCCCCATAGCTGGCTCCACCTCATGGTTTTCAGTGGCTAAGGGGCTGTGTAACAGCCCATCCAATGATTGTGCTGGAAATGCAGGCACCGCGGCTCTATCTGGGTAGAAAAACCTTCCGGGTTCTACAAAACCGCCCACCAGGGCTGATGGAAAAAAAAAGGCGGGGGGGGGGGACAATTTCTTAAACGCGGTGCATGCTACTTTGAAAGCGAGGACTAATAAAAAAAATGCAAATGCAAACACCGGCACAGTCAGAAAACAATAAATAAACTAAGTTACATGTGCGTGCTGTGTTCTTTTTAAAGGAATGGTTAGAGAGGCGGTGCTTGTGCGACGCTGAGCGCGCGGAACGCAAACGCGAGTTAGACGCTTTCAGGCGGTTCCTTACAGGGTCTGTGAATTTCACCTCGGACTTAAAAAAGTAAAACCGACGTCACCAGCCAAATAAATGATCAAACTCACTCGACGGAATAGGGTGTAAGGAAGGCGGTGGGGCTGCTGACTAAGAAAGCAAACTCCGAAAGAGGAGTCAGGAGTCCGCGGGAGAATCCGCTGCGGGTGCGGGGAGCGGGCGCCCCCTGCTCGAGGCGTGGCGACGTTGCGCCGTGGTCGCGTCCTTGGCCTTGAGAGGCAGAGAGTGGATGGAGACTGACTAATGTGCACCAGAAGGCTCCCCAGAGGACCAACGCGATGTCTGCCTTTCACTGACACCCTGCTCTTGTCAGTCGTGTACCAATCAATGCGTGGGATAGAAACGCTGGCTGAGCAGAACGTACCGTGAATTTAATCAGCCCCTTAAATAATGGGCATTTGAATGGTTCTGGAATTTTGCACATCATCAGCAACTCCCCGTGAGTGCCTTAGAGCCTGTATCGCCGATTGTTTGCTATCCCTTGGGAGAGATTCCCAAAGGGTTTGCACATCCTACATTCCCAGACTGGGTCCCACGGAGCGAGGTGGCCTCATGTGCGCTCCCATCCCCCACGCCCCTGGGAAGGACTGAATGTCTGAGTACAACTTCCCCCCACCTGCCCCCAATTCATATACTGAAACCTGCCCCCACCGAAGTGACGTATTAGGGGGTGGAGACTCTGTGTGGTGATTAGGTCATTAAGGGTGGGGCCCTCCTCAATGCGATCAGTTCCTTATAAAGGGCCCCCACCCCCAGAGAGCTTCCTTGCCCCTTCTGCCAAATGAGGACACAGAAGATGCCATCCACGAACGAGACACGGAATCTGCCAGCACCCTGATCTTGGCCTCCAGCCTCCGGAACCAGGAGAAACCAATGCTGCTGTTACAAGCCACTCGGTCCCTGGTGTTCTGTGGGAGCAGCCCACACAGACCCAGACAGCCCCCAACACACACAGGGTGGTGACCAGTTCTCACCAGTCGTCGGGTTTTGGAAATCATCAGAGTGCAAACATTACCTCTCGGTTCCAGGCAAAGGGCCCTTTCCCGCCGGCGGCCTTGGAGATGGTGGTCCAGTTCTGTGGCTGGGAACTGCAGAGTGCCATGGCTGCCGTCAGGGAGTACGTGTAGGTGAACAGCCCGTTCACCTCCAGCAGGACATACTCGGTCTCGACCACCTCCTGGAACTTCCCTTCCCGCCACCTAGAAGGTGTTGTTTTGGGGGGAGGTAATCAGGTTTACTTATTAGGTAATTAGGTTTATCTATTTAATGGCGGTAACGGGGATTGAACCCAGGACCTTTTGTAAGTTAAGCATGCGCTTTACCTCTGAGCTACATCCTCCCCCAACAAATCATTATTTTTGGATGCACATTTGATCTCCTGCCAGGTTGGTGCTTATGCCTCTTCTCTGACAGACCCTTCCCTTATTCCTCACCCCAGGTCGGCAGGCACCCCACCACATGACAGCTCTGAGTTAGCGGTGTGCCCGGCCCACAGTCCCGCCTGGGTGGGAATGTGGGACTAAAATCACGTGGAGCTAAGATATGACGTTCTAATGAACCTAAATGTTTACATGTGAAGCCCTAACCCCCAGTGTGACTGTATTTGGAGGCAGGGCCTTTAAGGAGGCAATTGAGGTTGGGTGAGGTCATAAGGGTGGGCCCTGATCCCACAGGAAGAGGGTGAGACGTCACCACACACAGAGCTCTCTCCCCATCCTCAGGAAGCAGTGAGAAGGCAGCCTCTTTGGGCCAAGGAGGGAGGCCTGAGGTAAGCAGTCCTGCCCACACCTTGACCTTGGACTTCCAGCCTCCAGGACTTTGAAAACATCAATGTCTGCTGTTTAAGTCCCCTAGCCCTTGGTATTAAGGTGGTCAAGCTAAGGGGGAGGAAGGAACTGTCTGAGCTGATAGCTATGGTGGGGGGAGGGGTAGGCAGGGAGCGATCACAACTCCAGTAAAGGGTTGGAGAGGGAAGGAGGGGCACAGGGGAATTAGTGATGCCAGGGAAGATAATGGGGGTCTCACAGCTCCACCACCGGCTTCCACGGGGTGTCATAGAACACAAGGACGGGGCAGCCCAGCTTCTCATACTGGTAATGCACCAACAGGTCCTCCGTGGCCTTCTGCCCCTGGAAGTTGGGGTCGTAGGTGTCCCTGTGGGAGAGCAGGAGATAGAGATGGGTGAGCTCCTGCGCAGCACCCAGGCACCCACCCACCCACCCACAGCCCCACTTCTTCCCTGCAGATGGGTTCGGTCATGGCTGTGGAGGGGCGGCTGAGGGGGGATTCAGAGCGATGGTGAAAATGACCCTGGGACCTCCGTGGTGGCTGACGTTTCAGGTCCACGTGGCTGGGCCACGGTGCCCGGATCGTGGTCAGACGTGATTCTGAGTGTTTCTGCAAGGCTGTTCTTTGGGGATGTGGTTAACACTGAAATCAGTGGACTCTGAGGAAAGCACTGCCCTCCTTTGTGTGGGTGCAGCTGGAGGCCTGAGTAGAACCAGGACGGACCTCTCTCGGCAAGAAAGAGGTCTACCTGCCGACGGCCTTGGACTTAAACCGCAGCTCTTCCCCCATCCTCCCCATCAGACTGTGGACTTGCCAAACCTCCACGGTCAGGGAACCAAGTCCTTAAAATAAATCTCCCCATCTCTGTCACTGCTTCTGGCTCCCTGTATGTGTCTCTCCCTGTCTGTCTCACACACATCCTGTCGCTGCTCTCTCTCTGGAGGCCCCGATCTGTGCCCCCACGAGGTCCCGCTGCAGCCTCACCGCTCAGCAGTCCCAGCCTGCAGGTCGGGCCTCGGCCGAGGGTCCGGATGGGAGGCTGACGCGGCTTGTCTGGGGCGGGCCGGGGCGTGTCATGTAAGACACGTGGGTGTCCTCCCTCGCCAGGGGGGGTTGGGGGTGTGCACCAGTGTGGGAGGTGGTCCCCACGCCGCCCTGAGTAGAGGGTCACCTTGGCCTGCCACCCCTCCTGCCTTGGCTGACAGTATCTGGCCAACTTCACTAGCTCAGACGAACAGGTGGCCAGGCTCCAAGAGCTGCAGGCAGGCTGGTGAAGGGTCAGAGGTCAGAGGCTGGCCCAGAAGGTAGCAGAGGCTGGGCAGACCCTGGCCAGGGGCAATGACACATCACATTGGCTCCCCACAGACCAGGCTACCTCTCCTACCTGTCTGTCACCCCCTCAGATTCCTTGCTGGACAGATAGCAGTTGGTTGGATATCAATTTAAAAACCATTCTTGGTTTGCCTTTGGCACATACATGCCAAATGGTCGTGTTGTGTGTGTGTGGGGTGCTCACTTCTCAATGACGTAACTGTAGTTGTCCTGAAGGGTCACGAGGTCGAGGAGGCCATTGTAACAGGCTGAGATTTCGCTGCAAGCAATAAAAGATGCTGAGAAGCTGCCTGACCTCAGGCAGAAGCGAAGAATCATGAATTCTTCCCTCTGGCCTCTGTATCTCCCCGCTGGTTTCATGTCCCGGCCCCTTCTCACTTTCTTGTTTTCCAAGATGCTCCATGCTCATCTTGCAACTTCCCTGCCTAGAGTCCGCCATTTAGCCAAGGAGCCCTAATTCCTTGTATTGGAAAAGAACGTTAGACCCAGAGATCTGGGAGCTAGGTGTCCTGACTTGAGACAATCATTCCCCAGTTTGTTCTTTATACTGTTACTATCTGCGCACGCATCCTTAAGCAACATACAGTTGCCTCTTGATTGGTTTCAGGGTCTGCGGCGGATACCAAAATTCGAGGATGCTCAAAGCCCCATAAGGGGCCTCTGTGTTCCCAGGTTCTGCGTCCGCGGATTCAATTAACCGCGAACCGTAAACACCATCTGCGCTTGGTTGAATCTTAGATACCGGGTGGGGAGCCGACTGTAATTTATTTTTGCCTGATTTCGGATTTTTAAGACTAAAATCAGACTATATGTTCTTCGACGTTTTTTGATTCCATGCCCATGTTTGTACGACCCAACCACGTGATTCTGCCTCGTTCGTTTTCACAGTGTTCCATTGTATCAAAACGCCGCACCTGGTTTATCCCTCCGCCAGCGGCTTGAGTTGGCCTGCTTCCAGCTTGGAGCCATTAAGAACAATGTTTTTGAGAACATTTAGAAACCTAGGCTATTGCAGATGTGCATGAGTGGAATTTCGGGGTGGGAAGATGTACACGCCCACCAGGGCGTCCCCACCCTAACAGTGTGTGTTACTGCCCAGGCTTTGTCACTTCCGCCATGCTGGTGGGTGAAGAACGCTCTCTAATACCGTTGTTTGTTTTTTTGTTTAATTGAAGTATAGTGGATTTACAGTGTTGTGTGAATTTCTAGTGTACAGCAGGGTGATTCAGTTGTACCTATATGTCTAACACGGTTTTCATTTTCATATTGAGGTTGTCTATTTTCTCAGCTCCTTTTTATGTGTATATTAGCCTTGTCCTTTGTTTTTGGTTGGTTTGTTTCTTTCTTTTTTGGAAGTACCGACTCAAGCCTTTTGCCATTGTTTTCTATTAATTTGTCTTTTTTTTTTGTAGGAATTTTCTATATATTCTGGATATGAGTCTTTTGTTAGTTACACATGTGGCAAATATCCTCCCCACTCTTTTTATGGCAGAAGCTTTTAAAAGGTGGTTTTACAACACTTTCCTGCACATGTGTTCCAAATACATCATTTAGTGATTCAATAAAGCGTTTCCATGGAGTGGGAAGGAAATTCTGGGAAAATCATCACTTGAGTTTATTATTGCCCTGGTGCAGTGGGCCACTGAAGCTGGCTCTTACTAGCTCTGGAGTTAAATCCTGTGAAATCCTGAGGAATTTCATGAACCAGTAGGTGACTCACGTCGGTAGCCTTCAGTAGGCTCTGTGGGAGCATTTACACCATGGGAATTGGCACGTGTTGTGCATCAGGGCGCCCCCAGAACTGGCTGTTGAACGTTTACCAGCACACCACTGCCTGAAGGAGAAACTGGCAATTTGGCCAGTCTTTGCATTCCCTTTGTTTTCTTTTTCTCGAATTCTCATGGCTGTATTCCCTGAAGTAACTATGGATACCAGAGGCTAAGTTCCCCAGTTTTTCAACAGGCGATTAAAACCAAAAACCCTGAGCAATTTTAATCAAAATGGGGATCTTGGAGACTAAAAGGAAGAAATGGAATGAGCCAACAAGGAGTGAGAAAAGATCAATATTCCTGAGTTGGTGGGAGGAGGGGTGGCCACTGCCCGGAAACTCCAAACTTAACGTGTTAGGATTAATGATTAAGCCATTTGTTATGTAAAAGTTAAACATATACAGAGATTGACAGGGTAGCATCACCCAATTTTAGCAACTGCGAAGCAATGGTGACGGTCTCCATGCCATCCCCACTCCTCCCTCTCCCCACCACATCAACACACTCACTTCTGAATGATGATCTTCTTCTCCAGGTCACAACCAACTGAAATCAGTGCTGTCTGCATGGGGGAGAGACAGGGATGAGGACCCAGGGCAGTGAGGGTGCTGATAGCCCAGCCACGGTGAAAAGCCATGTGGGGACCAGGCACCTGGGACTCACAGTAAGTGTGTCTGGCCCCAAGGAAGCAAGCCCTAAGAGCCTCCCTGAGCTATGGGGCGCAGCTAAGATCCCCCCATCTGCTACACCCCAACTGATACACCTGCTCGGAGGATGGTGAGTCATGAGGGGCAGCCCTGGGGGATGATAATGGGGAAGAGGCAGTGAGCCTGGCAACCGGGACAGGATCACGTCCATTTCTAGAACCTGAGTGTGAGCTCAGCCAGCCCCTCGGAAATGCAGCCGAGGCCTGCTGCCATGGCCCTTAACACTAGTGACAGTATGGGGCAGCAAAAGTTTTGGACATACCAGTGGCTTAAGGTCCACACATGAAATTTCTTTGTTGGCTATGTCCAGAGTGACGGTAGACATTGTGGGTCTCTTTATGCTGCAAGGCCATGGGAGTGTGAGTTATTGTAGTAAAAAGCATTGCTGATCCACCCATCTGTCCATCCAACTATCCACCCATTCACCCATCCACATACCCATCCACCTACCCACCCATCCATTCATCCATCTATCCATCCACCCACTCACATATCCGTTTATCCATTCATTCCCTCATCTATTCATCCATTCAGTCCAGAATACTGAGCAAGAACCTCTGCTCACACACTGTGTCCCGATCCTCTCTCTAGTTTCTACCTCTTCTTGCGTTGGTTTTGTTTATTTATATGTAGTAACTTATTGAAAAGAACATCTGACCCCAGTTTTATTATCACCCAGCTGCAATGTACTGTTTTCTCGTCACTACTTAATAGCTTCTGTGTCTGTACTTTTACTTTCATTTTTCGTTCCTGCTGTTCATTTTAATTCTGTCTCTTCTCCTTCATCAGGATTGTAGGGTGTTTAGCTGTTATGCCAGTCTTCTAAAGAACCGGCTTTCTCTTTCATTTTGACTCTATACTGTCTTCTTGTCTCTACTTAATACATTTCAGGTTGTATCATTAAGTCCCCTCTCATAATTTCTTTTTGTTGCCTATTTGCTTGAGTTACTCAGTTCATTTATCGTTAGGTTCATTTTTTCCCCCTGATAATAAAAGTGCTTAGGCTATAAATTTTCCTCTGAGTATATCTGAGCTGAATTCTTTGATTCAGAGGTGTTATTTATCTATAAATACCTTATTTATAAGGTGTTCCTTAATTTCCAAGTAAACGAGACTTTTGTTGCTTTTTTGGTTGTTGAGTTCTAGTTTTATTAGGTTAAGATCTGAGAATGTGGTCTGAAAAATCTCTGCTGGGGAAAATGACTTTTTTTAATGGCCAGCTACATGAATAATTAAGTGATTTTTAAAATAAGTTCCCCATAAGCATGAGAGAGGAACATATATTCTATATTACTAACATACAGAGTTATTTCATTTATATTTTCCAGCTTTATTGAGGTATAATTGACAAATAAAATTGTAAGATATTTAAAATGTGCAACGTGATGATTTGATGTATGTTTACATCGTGAAAGGATTCCCCCATCAAGTTAATTCCCCGTTCATCACCTCACATATATATCTTTATTACTATTATTTGGTGAGAACATTTAAGTTCTACTCTGCAAATTTCAGTTATACAATATAGTGTTACCAAGTTCTATAAAATGGAATTAAAATCATACTTGTTGAAATGTATACTGTAGGAACCTCGTACAAGAGGAATCATACAGCATTTTGTCCTTTTGTGACTGGCTTTTTTCACTGAGCATCATGTCCCCAAGGTTCATCCGTGTTGTGGAATGTGTCTGAATTTCTTTCCTTTTTTGGGAGTGGGGGTTGTAACTAGATTTACTTACTTATTTGTTTAAATTTTTTTTAAGGAGGTACTGGGGATTGAACCCAGGACGTTGTGCATGCTAAGCACTGCTCTACCACTGAGCTACACCTTCCCCTACTTTCCTTTGAGCCATAGTCCATTGTATGGATGGATCTAGTTTATCCATTCCTGTGTCAGTGGACACTGGGGTTGCTTCCATGTTTTGGCTATTGTGAACCACACTGCAGTGAACATGGGGGCAAAAATATTTTTCTGAGTCCCTGCTCATTTCTTTTGGATGTCAACCCAGAAGTGGGATTGCTGGATTGTATGGAAATTGTATGTTTCATTGTTTGAGGAACCGCCACTTGCAAAGAGTTTGTAGTCAATCATTCTTGCCTTCCTGTCCTTGGAGTGGGGGCATCTGGATCTCGGCCCTGCTTCCCCCAGCTCCTGCTAAGCGAACCCCACAGACACCTTGGGGCCACCTGCCGTGGTCCAGGTGATGACTTACCTGGAGGTGAAGTTGGGATCAGCCCTGCCCCCGTGGTGCTGCTGCCTCAGGGAAATGTTCTGTGGAACCGAGAGGGAAAACAGGACTGCAATAGGACAGCCCAGGGCTGCCCCGAAATCGGGGTTCAGGAGAGATGGGGGAGGATGGGGTGTTGCTTGGAGGCACCCGGGAGTCATTCAGCCCTCCTCTGGTTCCAATTCTCACCTGTGAAATGCTTCTGGAAGCTCCTGGGAGTGACCCCCCCCAAAGCTGCCTTTGTCCTGGGGCCCCACAGTGGGGTGTGACTCAGGTCCACCTCTTATTTAGCTGTGGTGTGACAAGGACTGGACCAGTGAGTGTGTGGTTTGGGGTCAAGTCCCAGCTCCCTGGGGTGACCCTGAGGCCTTGGGTTCCCCAGTGAACACAGATCTCACGCCCTCCTTGGGGCTGGCACTGTCACGTCCTCTGCGGCTCTCCTGTGTGACACCCTGATGCTGCCACCTGTCTGGGTGACTGCTGCCTGCCTGGGGAGGGCAGGGGCAGGGACCGTGTCCCCTCCAGACTCTGCAGCGCCTTCTCCAGGTGTGTGTCAGAAGGGACACAGTAAGGCCCTGGACCTGGCAGGGCCCTTCATCCTGGGGACCCAGGTTCGGGGCGGGGGCGCGGCTCACCAGTCTGTGCTTGGTGTTCCCATTGAGGGTGTAGCCGTCCTCGTAGATGAGGGCCTGTAGCCCCAGGGAATGCGGGTTGCTCACCATCACCTGGGGGCGGGATGGGAGACACGTGCTCAGTACAGTGCCCGCAGGGGCGAGGGGGCACCCACTGGGGTCACACCCACAGGTGGTCCCTTCAGAATAAAAAAACGAACTTGCTCTGCGAACGCCGTCACCGGTTCTGTCCCCAGATCCGCCCCTGTCTCACCCACACCCCTGACTGCGGCTCTGAGCCCTGCTCCGAGCAGCCTGGGGCTGCATCACCGCAGGACCCAGACCTGTCCCTGGGGTGTGGAGTGGCCCAGAGGTCTGTCCTGCAGGGGGAGGTCGGATGAGACACAGGAGCCGCAACCAGCCTGGTACCCCTGCTCAGGCCCTGGTCCCGGCTGGCTGGACACGTCTTTGCATGCTGATACTGGCCCGCCCACCTTCACTCCCCTTTTCAGCTTGATTACGTGCACTCAAGAGCCTGGGCTTGGACACCTGGGTTTCAGGTCCAGGAACACCCCGTTTCCGAGGCATCCCCTGCAGGGGGGAAGCCGGCTCTGGCTGAGCCAAGAGGAAAAGGTGTTTATGGAAAGGTTCCGGGGCAGCTCAGAGGAAGGGTGGAGAAAGGCACAGAGGCGGGGGAAAGGAGGCTGGGCTGGCAGGTGGACAGCTAGGGCCTCCGTCAAGCCTGGAACCGGGGACACTCGTTAAGGAGGAAGAGAGAGTTTCTAGGGGACATCGTGAGTGAGTCCCGGGACGAAGCCAGGGAATTTCCAGAGCCTGGACATTGTGGGCACCGGGCGTGAGGCCAAGGGTGCCAGGGAGGCCCCATACAGAATATCAAACAGATAAGACCGCCTTACTAGTGAGACTGGGGATGTCCCTGTCCGGGGTATCATCAAGGCTCTCAACTGCAACTCGCTGTTCATATCAATGGTGTACATTCTGTTATCAAATTCTCCCTGCAGAAGTTCCACCTAGTTAGAAAGGCAAAAAAAAAAAATCAATCAATCAAATCAAGCCTCTGTTCCCGAAAACACAGGGCAAGTGATCAGCGGCAGTTGGGAGGTAGTGAGTGGTCCCCTGGGGATAGAACCTTCCAGTCTGGCACCTGTCTCTTGAGCCACTGTCCTGCACTCTCAGACCCTCAAGGTCCCCAGAGTCAGAGCCGAAAGTAACCCTGCCCCGCCTAACTTCTACAGTAATTGCTTCCTGTGTTTCTTCATAGAGTGATTGCCAAGCGTGCATCCCTAGAGGATATAACTTAGTCTTGCCTGTTTGCAAGCATCTTGTCTTTTTAAGTCTCTCTTGATCCACAGCTTCCCCCGCCACCCCTTTCCTTTTCGATTCTATGCATCTTTGAAGAACCCGGGCTGTCAGACGTGTAGATTTCCCACAGGTAGATTCACCCGGCCTGGTTGGACACGTGTTCCCCTGCGCCCTGCATTCTTGGCAGACTGGCTGCTGGATCCATCAATTTAGGGCTGGATCTCGTTGGCAAGACCCAAAGGGTGACTGATCTTCCATCAGTGGCCAGTAATGGTCGGCTGTCTCTCTTTTTCGACGGTGGGGTGGCCACCGGGTGATGTCCTATCATTTTGGTTTCACATATTCACCAGAATGATTTCATAAGGAGACCCTTCCCCTGTGCTGTTTGCTGGCCCAGTGGAACAGAGTGAAGGGAGAGGAGGATAAGTGTTTGTGACTTGTCTTTTATTTACCCCACTTGCAAAACAGTGGGTTGGTTGCCTGGCATCCTAGAGAGGTAACCAGTAAGTTGCTTCTGATTCCAGTCTGGGACTGACCAGGAATGACAGGGTCAACCATAATGTGCTGTCCTGACAGCAGGACTCACGACTGTCCTGGGAATCTTGGTCTCCTGGTAAAGGTGGCATCTGCCAGGTTCCACCACTGCCAAGTGGCTATTCCCTCCCCCCTGTCCAGACTCTGTTCTTTAAAAGCAAATCATGGGGGCAGGGAGGGTGTAGCTTAGTGGTAGAGGATGTGCTTGGCATGCATGAGGTTCTGGGTTCCATCCCCAGTACCTCTACTAAAAATAAATAAATAAATAAATAAACCTAATTACCTCCCCCCCAAACAAAACAAAACACAAAGAAACAAACAAACAAAGCCAATCACTAAGGCCAGGGGGACTCAACTCCATCTCCTGGAGGGGAGTGTATGTAGTTACATTATTTGGAACTCTCCTGTAAAAGGGGTATGTCTCCCCTCCCTTTATTTACTTATTCAGCCATTTATTTACATTGGTATGGACTTGTGTATTTTTTTTTTACATTTTAAAAGGTTTTTTGTTTGTTTTTTGGGGGAGGATAATTAGGTTTATTCATTTTTTCATTTTTTAGAAACGTAGGCACTGGGGGTGGAGCCCAGGACCTCGTGCGTGCTAAGCACATGCTTCGCCGCTGAGCTTCACCCGCCCGCTCTGGGCTTGTATATGTTTGTGTTATACTTTAGCTTATTATCCAGTAATGCGTTGTTTTTGTGGCTCAGCGTATTCCAGCTTTCATCCACAGGTCCTTACTAGGCTGTATAGTTGCTTGGTCTTTTTCAGGTGGGGAAATACTCCTTGCTGATGTCATCTTTCTCAGAGCAGTTTACTGGCCAGATATTTACATAAAGGCTTACTATTGATTGCTCCCCCCCCCACCTCCTGACTGTCTCTTCCTTTCTTTGTTCTGCACTTTGCATAAGACCAGCAATCCCCAGACATGCCAGACATATGATTTCAAAGACCCGCAGGGAAGTCCCCAAGGCTGGGGATTGACATATTATTCGGCAAGTAAAGAAAATAAGAAAAAAAAACCCTAATGCCATCTATTAGCACATGGTCTCATAAACGGATATTTTAAACAAAAGGTGCTCTTTCGATACACAACGTGGCATGTGGTACAACTGCTGTGCTTTTTTCTCTCGTTTCCCCGATCGCCGTGGATCCAAAGGCACTTTGGAAACAGACAGTCTAGCGTTTTTCTGTAACTGGAGCGGTTGAGTTACGACCACATACCTTGCAGACGTCAACTTGGAGCTGGGGGTCCATGAGAGTCGCCTGGATGTTCACGGGGCACTTCTGGAAATCAAAAGCTGGGAAGAGCGGGTCAGGCAGCGGGCTCAGTATTTCCAGCATGCCCACGTCGGTGAACACCAGGACCGCCTCTTCCGACCGGATGTTTTGGCCTGCAAACTAAGAAAAATGACTTCTGAGATCAGCCCATGCTCATTTTTTTTTTTTAGGATGTAGATGTTTTCTTCTACTTCTTATGACGATGGTAGGGGTTAAATGAGGTAACGGTGGTCGGAAGGTTCTTAGACCTTATTCTAAGTGCTAAGTGTTAGCTGCCGTTATTTAATTTTATTTATGTTAAAAATATTTTTAAAACTTAGAGGGGGAGGGAGGTAATTAGGTTATTTATTTCTTCATCAGTTTGTTTATTTTTTTATTTTAATGGAGGTCCTGGGGATTGAACCCAGGAACTCATGCATGCTAAGCACTCACTCTACCACTGAGCTATACCACCCCCATGATTGGTATTTTAATAACTCCTAAAATTACTATTTACATTATTAAATATTACATTAATGTCAATAATGTTAAATGAATTAAAAACAGTGTTAAATGATCGCTATTGCTACTGAAAATACTATTACTATTTTAACTGTAAGAGCAGTTTCTTCAGAAAAAGGATCAGACATTTGAGAGCAAGACTGTCATCCGTCACCAAGGGTGTAGCACTGGCACTGTTACCCAGGACCTACTTTGATGAGAGAACTTGGCAGGATTCCCAGGCTGCCGTAGTACAAGTAACTCTCCTGAGTTAAAACTGCCAGTTCGTTTTCATCTGGGAAGAACCAAACAAGACAGAAAAAAGATTGAAACAAGAGTTGTTTCTAATGGATGAAAATATTTTTTAAAAATTAAAAATTAAAATTAAAAATCACCCCAAATTCCATCACACAGACCAGAGGTCAGCAAATTTCTTCTGTAAAGGACCAGAGGGTATTTTCTGCTCTGCGGGTCACGTGATGTCTGGTACAAGTATTCAAGCCGGTGAAAGCAGCTCATGGACAACTCATAAACGGATGGGCGGGACCGTGTGCCAATAAAACTTTATTTACAAAAACAAGTGATGGACTGGAATTGGCCTGTGGGCCATGGTTTGCTGACCCCTCACATAGGTAACCACTTGTTAGCATTTTAGTAAACTTCTTTTCTGTTCATCTTTTATATACGTGGGATCATATACTGGAACTCTTCAAGCTACTTTATATTTTTTCCTTCCCTGTAGTTGGCCCACTGGTGTTTTCTGGTGTCCGGATGAACCATAATTTATTTAACCAATGCTTCTCGGATGGATACTGAGGTTGTTTCCAGTCTGGCAGACATGGGGTCCAAGGAATGCAAGACACCATTAAAAGTGTTTACGAGAGGAGTGGGCAAGGTCCAATGTATATTTTTATTCTGTTGTGAAAAAGACAATCAAGGATGTTTTGCAGAAAAAGATCCAGGCTTCACTTGGGCCTTGAAGAACGCATGTGATGGGGCAAGTGGAGGCGTGTCTGTGGAGCAAGGACGGAACCAGTACAGCTACGGATTTCTCAGACTCTGCTCTGTTGACATGGAGCAGGATGGCTCTTTGTGAGGGGGCTGTCCTGGCCACCGTGGGGTGTGGAGCCTCATTGCCAGCCCCCACCCAGAAGCTGCAAGTAGCACCTGCTAGTCCTGACAGCCACACATGTCTCCAGACACTCACTGCCCAGTGTCCCCAAGCTGAGAGCCACGGGGTTAGATGAGAAAAAGCACCTCTCAGGGCAGTAGTGAGCTGTGGAATCAGAAACCGGATGCACAGGCCTGAATGTCATCCTGGCGAGTTCGGACTTTATTCTTTAGAAAAAAAGGAACCGTTAATGGTTCTAGACGTGGGAAGTGACGTGTACTCATGGTTTAAAAAAAAAAAAGAGGGGGAAGATTGCACATAGAATGGGAGCGAATATTTGCAAATCCCATGTCTGACAAGGGCTTGTATCTAGAATATGTAATAACTCAGTAATAAAAAGACAAACAGCCCCATTTAAAACATGGGCGAAGGACTGGAGGAGACATTTCTCCAAAGCAGACAGACAAATGGCCAATACGTCTGCGAAGAGACACCCAACGCCAGCAGTCGCCAGGGAAACGCAACTCAGGACCGCGGTGAGACACCGTGTCACCCCGCTAGGACGGCCAGAGTAAAACCACAAAAGCAGGTGCGGGTGAGGGCGCGGCGGGGCTGGAGCCCCTCCTGCACTGCTGGGGGGGGACGCGAAGCGTCCTCTGCGGAAGGTGGGCAGTTCCTCTAAAGGTCAGGCGCAGAGTGCCCATCTGACCGGACACGCTTCTCGGTGTCTGCCCAGGAGAACCGAAAACACGCGTCCGCATAAAACGTGCCCACGAATGTTCACAGCGCAGAACTCACCGTAGCCCCAAACTAGAAACAAGCCAAATGTCCATCAGCAGGTGAGTGGATAAACAAAGCATGGTCCACCGTCACAGCTGTTACGCAGACATACACAGGAACGAAGCCCTGGCCCACGCTACAACGGCGATGGACCTTGAAGACGGTAAGCCAAAGAAGCCGGTCACAAAAGACCACGTGTTGTAAGCTTCCTTTCGCATGAAATGTCTACACTAGGTGACTCTGTTGAGACAGAGGTAGATTGACGGTTGGCATGGGCTGGGGAGAAATGGGGGCTTGTGGGCTGATAGCTAAAGAAAATGGCTTTCTTTTTTGGGGTGATGAAAATGTTAAATTTTTTTTTTACAGAAGAAACTTGTTGTTAATCTATTGTATATATAGTAGTTAATATTTGCACCTCTCAAACTCCCCACGTATCCCTTCCCACCTCCTTTCCCCTGCCAGTAACCGTAAGTTTGTTTACTACTTCTGTGAGTAAAAACATTCTAAAACTGATTGCGGTGATGGTTGCTCAACTCTGTGTATAGTCTAAAAACCACTGAATCATATGCTTTGAACGGGTGAATTGTATGTATGGCATGTGAAGTTTATCTCTGTAAAGCTGTAACGAGGAAAAAGGAAGGGAGAAAATGATTAATCTGCTTGACCTGCGTCCTGGTCCGTCTGGGCTGCTGTAACACAATGCCATAGACCCAGTGGCTTATGGACAACACACGTTTCTCACGGTTTTGGAGGCTGAAGTCCAAGATCAAGGTGGCGGAAGATTTCGCATCTGGTGAGAACCCGCTTCCTGATTCACAGAGGGCATCTCCTCGCTGGGTCCTCACTTGGCAGAGGGGGCGAGGGAGCTCCCTGGGGCCCCCTGTATAAGGGCACTGACCCCATTCACAAGGGGCCCACCCTCATGATCTCATCCCTTCCCAAAGGCCCCGCCTCCTCATACCATCGCCTCGGGGGTTAGTCTTCAATACAGGAAACTGGGGGGGACACAGACATTGAGCCCATAGCAATCTGGGTTTAGTAGAGGAAGAGACTAGAATTTGAAAGAGCGATTGGGGAACTTGTAGTAATCAGGGAAAGAGACAACAATTCGAGGTTGGACCTGGTCAGTTCCCTGTGCTGCTGATGGGAATTCAAGCTGGCTCCATGTCAAATATACGCTGTGCAGGTCTTCTGCCTCAGTACCCAGCAGTGGGATTGCTAGGCTGTACAGTGGTTCTATTTTTATGTTTTTGAGGACCCTCCACACTGTTTTCCACAGCGGCTGCACCATTTTGCATTCCCTCCAGCAGGACACAAGGATTCCCATCTCCCCACCTCCTCACTGATACTTGGTATCCCTCCGTTTTTTTCATTTGCCTCTTTGTTTTTGGTAACTGCCATCCTAATAGTTACGAGGTGGTATCTCATCAGGAGTTGGCTTCCATTCCCCGCCGCTGTGTTCAGTGCAGCATTATTCACAAAAGCCAAGTTCTGGAAACAACTTAAGTGTCCACTGGTGGATGAATGGATAAAGACAATGTGGTTTATCCATACAGTGAAATATTACTCAGCCTCAAAAAACACGAAGGGAATCCTGTAAAGGCTACAACATAGATGAGCCTTGAGGACATGATGCTCAGTGAAATAAGCCAGATGCAGAAGGACACACACTGTCTGACTCCACTCACAGGAGGTCCCTAGAGGAGGCAGATCCATAGAGACAGGAAGTAGACGGTGGGGCCAGGGGCTGGGGGCAGGGCTGGGGACTCAGTGTTTAATGGGGACAGAGTTCCAGTTATGCAACATAAAGACGTTCTAGAGCTCTGCTGTCCGTTGTGTGTGCCTATAGCTGGTACTGAGCTGCGCACTTAAAAGTTTGTTTGGAGGGTAATCTCCTGTGAAGTGTTGTTACCGCAATAAAACATAAAATGATGGGTAATGGAAAAGGCAAATGGTAGGATGACTCACATGACAATATGATACCATTTATGTAAAAAAACAACCACAACAAGCTACACAGATGACTCTATGCGTTTTCAGCAGGTGTATATTTAATATACGTTGTGATCACCTGGTTGGAAAGATTCTCTCTAGATTCCTAATAGTGATGATTTTTAGGAAGCTGAAGAGGTACCTGGATTCGGGGAGCTGGTCAAGCAAACTTTATTACTTTTTAATTGAACTATAGTTGCTTTACAATGCCGTGTTAGTTTCTGGTGTACGGCATAGTAATTCAGTTATACATATACGTACATGTACTTATATTCCTTTTCATATTCTTTTCCATTACAGGTCATTACAAGATACTGAATGTAGCTCCCTGTGCTCTACAGTAGGACCTTGTTGTTTACCTATTTTATATATAGCAGTTTGTATCTGCTAATCCCAAACTCCTATTTTACTCCCCTCCCCAGTAACCATAAGTTTGTTTTCTATGTATGTAAGTCTGTTTCTGTTTTGTAAATAAGTTCATTTGTGTCATTTTTTTAGATTCCACATATAAATGATCTCATGATATTAGTCTTTCTCTGTCTGACTTACTTCACTTAATACAATCTCTAGGTCCATCCATGTTGCTGCAAATGGCATTATTTCATTCCTTTTTATGGCTGAGTAGTATTCCATTGTATATATACACACCACATCTTCTTTATCCAGTCATCTGTCAATGGACATTTATGTTGCTTCCACGTCTTGACTGTTGTAAATAGTGCTGCTATGAACATTTGGGTGCACGTATCTTTTCAAATTAGTTTCCTCTGGATATATGCCCAGGAGTGGGATTGCTGGATCATGTAGTAATTCTTTTTAGTTTTTTAAGGAATCTCCATACTGTTTTCCACAGTGGCTGCACCAAGTTACATTCCCAGCCACAGCATAGGAAGCTTCCAAAGGGAACTTAATTATACTTATAATGTTTAAAACAAAACTTTTAAAGGACCAGGCATCACTGGTAGAATTATAAATTAATTTGTGTTCCATTGCTTTCTTTGATTATATTCTAACTTTTTTTTTTAAATGGAGGTACTGGGGATTGAACCCAGGACCTCGTGCATGCTAAGCACGTGCTCTACTGAACTAGACCCTCCCCATGTCTTTCATTAAATTGATTTTTAGCAGATAAATGGACACGGACGGGGGAGGAGGTGATGCAGTGATGGGCAGACAGGGGAAATACAGGCTCTTAAAGGGCAAGTGACCCCCGAGCTGGCTGCACTGTTTCCCTCCACATCTCCAGGCCGGGACCTGTGCGAGGAGGAAAATTATACCAGCAGGTTTCATTTTTCCTGATTGAACCAGTCAGGGCAGCAGCCAGACAACAATTCACTGGTACGGAACTCCTGGGGGTGCCGTCTGTCATGGGCTGAACTGTGTCCCCTCCAAACAAGATAGGCTGGAGCCCTAACCCCCAGGAGCTGACCAGGATGGGACCTGATTTGGAAATAGGGTCTCTACAGAGGTGATCCAGTGAAATCATTAGGGTCGGCCCTAATCCAGTAGGACTGGCGTCCTTTTAAAAAGGGGAAATTTGGACACAGACACACACAGAGGGAGAGGGAAGATGATGGGGAGACCCAAGGGGAAGATGGCCATCGGCAAGCCGAGGAGGGAGGCCCCCGAAGGAACCGGCCCTGCCGACACCTTGATCTTGGACTTTTGGCCTCCAGGCTAGAAGACAACAAATGTCTGTTGCTCTGAGTCACCCAGTTTGCGGTGCTTTGTTACTGTAGCCCCAGAAAACAAGATCCAATTGACATTCCACTGCATCATAAGAAGGCACAGGCGCTTCTGCCCGGAGTCATACCGGAATCTGTAATAACCATGTTTGGTCTGTGTTTTGGCTGGGCTAGACCTAGTGGGTCAGTGGTGAATAAGTCAGGTCTAAAATACTTCTAGAAAGCTACCCGCAGGTCAGGCACGCACTGGCAGCAATGCTGTGGACGCTGATGTTGGCTTCAGAGATGGAAGAATACAAGATGTGCTGTCCTTCTCGCACCTGGACAGGGTTGACCAGCTGACCTAGGAGGTAACAGGGCAAATCATGAGACCTGGGTGAGGGCTGGGAAGGGGATTCCTCTGCCACCCACCGGGCCCTTCAGTTCATGACTCTAATGATAAAGAACCAAGGAAAATAGTCATGAGATACAAAGTTGCAAGACATCCCATGGAACACATTAGGTTTTTTTCTATTATCTATTTTATTTTTTTAATGGAGGTACTGGGGACTGAACCCAGGACTTCCTGTATGCTAAGCATGTGCTCTACCACTGAGCTATACCACCTCCCCTACCCCGGAATGTAGTAAGTTTTAAAAATGTGGCCCCCATACGTCTCCTTGATGTGAGAGCTCTGAGGAATGGGCTGGATATTGGGTGAACACTGTGGGGTGCCTTTTATTATAAGGGTAGCGTGGGAGGAATCAGAGTTTTCTTTCTGGAATGGATTCCCCACATGGGCCAGGTCAGCCCTGAGCCGTTTCCTTGCGTTGGAAGGAAACAGCCCTATTCAAGCGGCTTGATGGGTGTTGGGGAGTGGGTTGTGACTGTAGGTGCTCTGGCAGCCACCCCTGTGCCCAGAGGTCCCTCAGAGCACCTCCTCCTGGGGGGCTGCCTTTCACTCCCCTCCTTAGGCGGGCTGGGGCTCACACGTCCTAGGCCTGCAAACAAGATCTGCAGCTCCTGGACTTGGCCCCTCTGCCCTAGGCATCTGGTGACTTGCAGAACCTGCCTACCGGGCCCTAAAGATCCCAGGAGGCGGGAAACAGGGACACAGTGAAGACGACAAATCAAGGATGGGCTTGTCATTGTCCACTCAAGTCAGGGGAGAGTGAGAGGACGGCTTGTGCTCCCCACCCCCAGCCCCCACCCAGGGAGGCAGCCCCAAGGCTGGGCCTCGCTCACCTGCATTCTGAGAAACCAGCAGGCTTTTCTCACACCAGAAGATGAGGATGCCCTTCTGGCCCGGGGCGATGAGGATGTCAAGAGTCCCGTTGTAGTCAAAGGGCAGCCCGAAATCGAGGTTCAGGGGGTAGTCTGAGTAGCTGAACATGGCCTGAGAGAGGAATACTGAAGCTTGAGCAAGAAAAGAAATCATGGGTCGGCGGTTACCTATGCGGCCCATAGAACTGTGTGGGTCCCTCGTGCTCTGTTATTCAAACTTTCTTCCAACCTTATTACCTAGTCTGGTGGTTCCCAGCTTCGATGATTCTGCCCCCAAGGGACCCTGGGCGGAGTCTGTGGTCTTCTGTTCTTGTCCCAATTTGGGAGGCTCCTGGCATCAAGTGGGTGGCGCCAGGGAGTCTGCTCCACACCCCACGCGCCCAGGGCACGCCCCCCATCACAAAGAACCATTTACCCAAAACGCCCGCTGTGCAAGAGCCCAGCTCCCCCATGTTCTGCTCTGCCCTCGCTGACGCCCTTATACTTAGATTATTATTCAAGCCCATGTCCCCAGGCTGGTCCCCAGATTCTTGTCCTGCCTGCCATTTGGATCTTGCAACCCTCTAAAGGTGACATCTCTTAGGTGAAGTCTAAATTCCTCTGTGTGGATCTCAAAGTTCTCTCTCACTTGCTCTTTAACACCATGCAAGGATGGAGTTTAAAAAAAAGAAAAAAACCCCACACTTAACACGGGTTTCTAAGCGAGTCCCACAGAGATACCCACACCTCTCTCTCAGAAGATGCACTGTGGCAGAGGGAGAGGTTTCTGCAGCACGGCTTGCCCAGTGCCTCCGAGTCTGCAAAGGTACCGCGCTGCTTTCTAAGGGGCCCCAGGGTGGTGGGAGGAGCTTAGCGGCCAGGGTGAGGATGGGCTGTTGCCTGGGCTACTGAGCTGGACTAGTCCTACCCGCTGAGCAGTGTGGATGGGCTGCCTTGGTCCTGAGACCCTGAGAGAGCGCTCAGCTGAGCTGCCAGGGGTCAGAGGAGCCCAGTTAAGGCAACGAGCCAAACACAGAGTTCATTCAGCCTTTAACTGCTTTCTGCCGTGTGGTAAATAAGAGCTGAGGCCAGAGAGAACGCCAAAGTCCCCTGTTTGTCCCTTCCCATGAGATGGCACACCGTCAGAGGTCCACTGGGTTGGCAGAGGTATGGGGTTCATCACCCCGTGCCAGGGGGCCCCCCGGACAGAAGGTGTCTGCAGTTTTATGCACCCAGGCCCTCAGGTGGGGAAAAGGCCAGGAGTGAAAAATTGCTGAGTCAGAGTGAAAAGTGGCTTCAGGTTTCCCCCTCCTCCCTCCATAAGGAGGCTGAGGCCTGAAGACCACGCCAGGGCTAGGAATGCAAAGATGTCAGCGTCCTTGACTGCAGCGCCTTCAAGTCCATCGTGCTCCAGGCGCGGAGTGGGGAAGGCAGCTTCCCCCCCGGACGCCCGCCAGGTGCAGCCTTCATGACGAGGAGTGGTCAGGCCCGGGAAACCAGGCGTAGATTGAAACCAGGACGACTCAGCCACCACCACATTCTTGGGGTTTCCAGAGTGGCAGGAGAGTCTCTGATTCAGCATGGGCCCTGGCAGTTCGTGCTCCGGAGGGGACCCTGGATGGGGGCTTTCAGCCGCCAGGGAGCAGCCCGGCCTCTGGGAGCTTCCTGGCGGTGGGTCTCCCCAGAACTTCAGAGAGGCACACCCCGCTCACAGATTTTGCAGCCGGAGGGTACTGACTGGACTTCAGTCTTTGTCTGACTTCATAATTTTTTCTTCAGGTGCACTTGGCATGGACTGATTCCTCTTGTTAACTTAGTCTTATCCTAAATGATACCTGTGAGGTCCCAGTTTTCATGTCCTGATTTTCTGAATACATGTGAAAATAATTATTAAGAAAAGGGTTGACGTGAGGCATTTAAAATGGTCTTGTGTTATCAGCGACACATGCAGCACACCCTGTATTTTATCCCTAGTGCCCAACATAGTGCTTGGCACCTCCTAGACCTTACTTAATATTGCTGAATGCATGACTGAATGAGCAAATAAAGGTAGCGGTGTGGGTGAGCGGAAGGGTATATGAATGTATAGGTAGATGGGTGGATGGCTGAGTAGGGGGAGGATGGAAGAGCAGATGGATGAATGGATGGATAGGTGGATGCATGGGTAGGTGGGTGGGTCATTGGATGGATGGATAAGTAGGTTGATGGATGGATGAGTAGATGCATGAGAAGATAGGTAGGTAGATGGCTGGATGGGTAGGTGGATGAGTGGTTGGATAAATAGACAAATGGAAGAATGGATAGATGGATGGATGTGTGGATGGATGGGTAGGTGGGTGGATGAATCGGCAAATGGATAGTTGGGTGGATGGAGATATGGATGGACAGGTGGGTGAAAAGCTAGATGGATTTCAGATATGAAAATCTAAGTGTGTGAGTTTTGACAGAAACCTGGCTTGGGGTAAAGGTCACTGAAGTCACTCTTCCCCAGGCTAAAAGTTACTCACCTTCTGCTGGTTGACAAGGAGCAGGCCCACCTGTGACAGGGAGTGAAAGTAGAAGATCCCACCCAAGGACCCGACTAGCTCTGCCTGTGGAACAAAGCATCACGTAAGAATAAACGATAAACATGCGCCTAATTCAAAATTTAACTCTAGATTATCTAGTAGGCTAAAGTGAAGGAAAGTCTTTTATTATGATGATGATGATGATCGCTCTGTCCTCTGTGAAAATGGAGCATCTAGGGCAGACCTTGAAAGAAGACAGCTGGGCTTGGGGTGTTGCAGGAAGTGGTGTGGCTCAGGCTGCGAGACGCCCGCCTAAACCCTTCACTCTTGCCTGGGTTTCTCACTCCTGACCGTTGGCTGGTCAGCAACGTGCCCGGCAGGTGAGCCGGAGCATGAGGCCCAGGGCCGCAACCCAGCGAGAGTGGGACAGATGGCCACCAGACGTCCTTCAGGTAAGAGAGCAGGACCACTATCTTATTTAAGCCTCTGATACTGGGAGGGAGGCAGAGATTTCTATTATATAAAGTGCCGTGAGCCAGACTGCGTCCCTGCCGCCGCCGGTGTATGGGCTGAAACCCTAACCCCCTGTCTTAGTCCGTTCGGGCTGCTGTGACAAAATACCACAGACTGGGTGGCTTCTCAGCAACAGAACGTGATTGCTCACAGTTCTGGAGGCTGGCAGTCCGAGAGCGGGCTGCCAGCGTGCTCAGCTGGGGCCCTCTCCTGGGCTGCAGACTTTCTGCTGGGGCCTCACATGGAGGAAGCGGTGAGCCAGCTACCCGGGGCCTCTTTTAGAAGGGCACTAACCTGGGGGCTCCAGCCTCATGACCTAAGCACCTCCCAGAGGCCCCGCCTCCTACCACCGTCACATCAGGCATTAGGATTTCAACATACGCATTTTGGGGGGACACAGTGTGATGCTATTTGGAGGCGGGGGTCTTTGTGTAGTGACTAGGTTTACATGTGGTCAGGAGGGTGGGGCCTCATGATGGGATTAGTGCCGTTACAAGAAGAGACACCAGAGGGCGCTTTCTTGCTCCCTCTCCCCCCTCCCTCCCATCTGAGGACACAGTAAGGAGGGGGCCGTCTGCAAGACAGGAAAAGAGCCCTCACCAGGAACGAAATCAGCTAGCACCTTGATCTTGAACTTCCCAGAAATAAACATGTGTTGCTTCAGTCACCAGCTTGCGGGATCTGCTGTGGCAGCCCGAGCACAGTAAGATGTCCTGTCAGTCTGTCCCGACTAGCACAGGCGGCCAGGCATCATGGCGGCCCGCCCGTCACCCCGCCACCAGTCACCCCCATGCCTCCTCCCCTGCCGAGAGAACACAGAGGGGCCTCCATCTCAGGGGATGAGTGGTCACTGCTCTGGACCACACTTAGGAGTCTCAGCCCCTTGGCCATGGGCCCTTGGGCTCCAGGACCTAACCCAGCCATCCTGGATCTCGGCTGCAGATGGCAGACTGTGGGGCTTCTCTGCCTCCGTGACCGCGTGGGCCAGTTCTTATCGCCTGTCTCCTCTTCCATATGTTTATATCTCTATCTCTGCGAGTACTTTTGTTTCTCTGGAGAACCCTAAAACCATTGGGGATTTTAGTGACGATGGTTTTCGACTGAGCAAAGACATTAAGTCTGGGTCCTTCTAGACCTAGTTTCGAATGAAACAATGTGGCTGCTTAGATTCTGGGCTTCGTCGGGCCTCCTGGGCAGGGCCGAGAAACCAGTCTGGGGGTGTGATCAGAACTTGAGGGCAGAGTGGACCCTCTCTGCCTCCCTTTGGACCAGCTTCCTAAGTGTCTGGGGGGATGAAGCCATTCTCTGCATCGGGACAAAACGCCACCATCCTCTTAGCTACCCAAGGATCCTATCTTCTAAGCTGTTCAAACCCCAGCTCTGCCAAGCTGTGTGGCCTTGGCAAGGCCCTGCACCTCTCTGAGCCTTCGACCCTGTATTGGTTTCCTAGGGCTGCTATAACAAAGTACCACACACCCAGTGGCTTAAAACAGCAGGGCTGTGATGCCACAGGTGTGGAGGCTGGAGGTCTGAAGTCAGGGGGTCAGCGGGGTTGGTTCCTTCTGGAAGCTCTGAGGAAGTAAGCCGGTCATTCCTCTCTTCTGGTTCCTCTCCAACCCTGCCCCCGTCTTCCTGTGGCCTTCTTCTCTGTGTGACCCTCTCCTGTCCTCTCTTCTTACTAGGACGCCAGGTGCTGGTTTGAGAACCCACCCTGACCCAGGATGACCTCGTCTTAGCTAATGATATCTGCAAAGACCCTGTTTCTAAGGACAGTCATGTTCTGAGGTTCGGGGTGGACACAGGTTTTGTGGGGGACACACGTTCAACCCCATCCAGTTCTCTCATCTGTAAAGTGGGGATGATGGTGGTTCCTGACATACAGCCCTTTGGGTGGGCGTGGGGTTGCGTGTTGTGAGTCACGTGCAGCCTGTGCTGTGGCACCAGCTTTCCCCCTAAACAGGGCCGTCTCTTTCCTCACGTCCCAATCTCCTGAGCCAGCTGCTCTGACCTGGAATTTTCCCCTACCCTCCTAGCTGGCTGGATTCTTCAAGAGAGAAAAGTCCTTGCCCGCCACGGACAGCTAATTACTCCTACCGCACAGGGTACTTTTTTTTGTTGTTGTTGTTGACTTTCTCACCAGGTTGAACATACCTGCCTTTCGTGGGCATACTTCTGAAATACGTATCCTCGGGTGTTTGAGAAATAGATATTGGTCTGAGATATCTGATCTCCAAGCAAATAAGCAAAAACCGAGTTGCTTACATCCTGGAAGAACACACACATAGAATGGTCTCTTTAAAAGGAGACAGAGGGCGAAGGGGGGTGGGGAGATGTTCTTTAAGTAGATAAATAAGGTCTGGAAGTCAAATGCACAGCACAGTGATTGCAGACAGCAACACTGTATTATAAACTCCAAAGTTGCTAAGAAACCAAGTCTTAATTGTTCCCACAACAAAAAGAAATGATAAGTGTGTGATATGGTATGGTGGTGATTGTATTGCTGTACATAAGTCTATCTAATCAACACACTGTGGTGTGTCAATTATACCTCTGTTTTTAAAAGAGGGGGCAGATGCCAGTGATCACACTTCTGGGCATTTATCCCAGACAAGTGAAAACTTATGTCCAGACAAAAGCCTGTCCATGAATGTCTACAGCAGCCTTATTTGTAACAGCCAAAAAGTAGAAACAACCCACTTCTGGTTCGGCCACACTTTGGAAAATTCCTCAGAAAGGAACAGACTAGACGCATGCACAACAAATCAGACGAGTCTCCAAAGAATGTTGCTGGGACAAGCTAGTCCCCAGAGGTTTCGTATGGTATGGTCCCACTCATATAACATTCTTGAAATGATAAAATTAGAGAGATGGAAAACAGGTTCGTGGTTGCCAGGGTCAGGGCAGTGCCGGGCGACGTGGAAAGAGCGCCGGGGTGATGGAACAGTTGGGTATTTTGCCCTCAGTCGCCATTCCCTGACTTGACACAGTTGTGCCCATGTCAATTTCCTGTCTGTATCATATTGCGCTTGTGTAAGATGTAACCACTGGGGGGAACTGGGTGAGGGATACGTGGCACTCTTATTTTTTCAACTTCCTGTACATCTATAATTATTTCAAAATACCAGGTTAAAAAAAAAGAAGATAGATGGATACACTCACAGTGTGTCGGCCAGCTGATCTAACAGTAGCTCCGGGGCCCCGCCCGTACCTCAGGTCCTGTCCTGAGCCCAGGGCAGTGCACCGCCCGAGTCCATCTCAGCCCCAGCCCTCGAGGCGTAACTGCCCTTATTTCCATTCATAATTACCTCTGCTCAGAGCAGAGTGGACAAACGAGACAGGACACGTGGTACTCACCGCACAAAACGAATTTCCACTGTAACAACAGTTGTCACCAGAAATGTGGGAAACAGGGTGTTCTATACCTGAAAGGAAAGAGAACTGAAATGCCCTCTGAGCTCCCTGCAGGTTCGGGGGGAGGTTAGAGCAGGGCTTCTCGCCGTCCGGCTGACATCTGCGCCCAGACTGTCCTGGGCACCGCGGGATGTTTTACAGCATCCCTGCTTCTGCTGACTGCCTTACCTTATTGAATCACTTATGCAATAACTTATTTAACTGGTGACACTCTTCTCCAGTCTTGACAACTAAAAAATGTCTCCAGACATTGCTAAGTGTCATCTCGGGGTGAGGGGCGAATTATTCCTGATTGAGAACCACTGGTTTTGCAGAAACTCTTTCAGGATTCTGCCAACATTGCAGGAAGAGTGCCCTTCTCTTAGGGAGGCATTCTTCGATTCTGTTTCAAAAGAAGCTTCAACTCCAAAGAAAATATACATGTAGCTGACAAGCTCAATATCACTAATCATCAGGGAAATGCAGTGCAAAACCACAGTGAGGTACCTCCCGCCCATTAGGATGGCTACCACGAAACAGAAAATGAGTGTTGGCGACGCCTGGAATCCTGCTGCACTGCTGGTGCGAATGTAAAATGGAATGAAAGTAGAATGACCACATGATCCAGGAATTCCACTTCTGGGTATATACCCCCACAAACATTAAAAGCATGGTCTCCAGGAGACATTTGTATATGGATGTTCAAACCAGCATGATCTATAATAGCTAAAACATGCAAGCAGCCCGAGTGTCCATTGACAACTGAATAGATTTTTTTATATGTGGTCCATTCACCCCAATGGAATATTATGCAGCCTTAAAAAGGGAGGAATTCTGACACCTGCTACAACACGGATGAACCTTGAGGACATGATGCTCAGTGAAACAAGCTGGCCATAAAAGGACAAATACTGAATGATCCCATTTATTTGAGGTCCCCAGAGAAGTCACATTCATAGAGACAGAAAGTAAAATTGGGGGCACAGGGAATGGAGAAGGGGTATGGGGAGTTCACTCTTTGGATGCTATTAAACTGATGGAGAGAAGAGAAAAGACAGAGACCAGACTGACTTACGTTACAGGGAGACCTGATGGTTCCTCAGTAAGTTAAATACGGAGTTTCCATCTGACCCAGCAATTCCACCCCTAGGTATCTACCCAAGAGAACTGAAAACATGTGTCCAAACAAATACTTGTACACAAATGTTCACAGCAGCACTATTCACACTGGCCCATAATCTTTCATCACAACGAATACACACGAAACAAAACGACAGCAAATTGCCAGATGGTTATCTACCAACTCAGTGGTTTTTGACTGAGGGGATTTTGACCTGTGGGGGACACTGGGTGATGTCTGGGGACATCTGTGGTTGTCATGACTGGGGGTCTCCTGGCATTGAGTGGGTGGAGGCTGGGGAGGCTGCTCCACACCCCACGATGCCCAGGATGGCCCTGCAGAGGATGACCTGGTCCTGATGTCAGCAGGACAGCGGTTAAGAAACCTCGTACTGACTCCTTTCTCACCTTGATGAGCCCCTGGTGATTACCTGTCCTCCCTCCCCCTTCTCCTCGTGTCCTGGAAAAGAGGGGCCGTCCTTCCTCTTTTCTAGGGAACAACATCTTCCTTGTCTCACTTGGCCCCATCTCTGTCTCCTCCACCAGGGTTCGCTTCTCTCTCTCCTTAAAGCTAGTCTTCTCCACTGTCCCCACCCCTGACACGACGTACGCAGGACTATGTCACCCGCCAGCCTTGCCGCCAGGCATCCAGGACTCATCTCTGCGGCACCCCTGTCCTCCCCGTCCTCCCCTCCATCACAGCTCCTGCTGCCGCACCTTGTGTGCTCCGACCAGAGCAGGGTTTTGTGGCTTGTCACCATGATCCCAGGTGGAAACACTCAGTTCCCACCCTGTGGGAAGGGGATTCAGGCCAATTTTTATTTGAATTTTAAATGACAATGGAACGGCCAGTGGCTGACATCCAAGTAGCAGTATCGTCTGTACTTCTGAGAATAATAATCTTTTCTCTGGTGTTGGCTATGCAAAATAAAACACACACACACACACACACACACACAGCGAGGGAGGGAGAGAGAGAGGCAGAGAGGGAGAGGGAGAGAGGGAGAGACATACCTTTTGATGCATTCCAGGAATTGGCTTCATAGTCATAAATGTAGACTCCTTGGTTCACGACTAACAGCAACACTGAACCAGCAAAATGTGCCGACGTTACTTCCGGTGTGCTAACCTACGGATGCGACAGGCGGCACGGTATCAATCCGGGCACCTTTTCGGACATCGATGCAGAATGCAGTGCTTCTAGATATGCATCCAAGAAACGCTTATGCCAGCAAGAGTTAGTTGTCTGGTTCCTAGATACTGGAAACTATGCATCCTGGGGACCAGCGAGAAGCAGACTGGGAGGTTAAAGTTGGCGCCCTCGGACACCTAAGTTCGCTGCATCCCCTTCTCCCATCTCAAAACCTCCTCTGAGGATACAGTCTATAGCACAGATGACGGATGAGGAGCAGAACCAATAAAGGCATCACTTGAGAGAGAAACTGGTATTTTAACAGATGGCCCTGCGGTAGCATAGGTGGGCAACCATCAAATTTCTCAAGGCAGTTACTGAGGGGGTACAGGTTTTTCAGGACTACTTAGGGAGGCCCTGACATCAGTGCATGTAATCTGTTTATTTATAACACACAACAGTTATAAGGAGCACTTGCAACAATTCTGGTTCTTTTTTCAGGAAAAAAAAA